CTTAATACATGTATATGCATATATTATTATATAATGCGTGTATGTATTTATATTTGTATACGCTCGCCTGTCTGCGTGCATGCGTGCTCGTAGATAACGTAAACGTTCCGCGAAACATTTCACGTTAACGCCAAGGTTACTCGATTGATAATACATGTACAATTTCATCTGTGATACGTAATTTCGAATCGGCAACTTTTTCTTCCTTTTCTCGATACGATTCGTTACCGATCGTTCTCCATCTTTTATTAGAATCTACAACTACCGTATAGTATACACAATCATATGTACGCGTATCAGGCGAAAGAATAAACATGCGTAACACTTTCATCCAACACTTTGCTCCCTTCCCTACCTGCCTGACCGTTACATATTACCATTAACTCGACGACTTGCCTTTAACGATGGAAATGTAGTAATTCTTGTAAATAAGGGGGCTAGCGTCGTCGCTGACAAAGTTTCGATCCGGCTTGATCGACGCGAACGGATTTCGTCGGGGTTGCAAAATTATCTCCACGTCTGCGATAGAATTTATTCGGGCTATTTCCCAAACCATCTCGTCCGCGGTGTAAGACGTAACGACAACGGGAGTTGATCGTATGCAAAACTCTCGTATCGTTTCGGGCCACGTGTCCCTCCCTCCGAACCCGGTGTTCCGGTAAAGGCCAGGATTGAAAACGCAAATCAGGTCGACAGGTTGAATCGCGCTCTCTTGCGACGCGTCAGGAAACAAATGGTGGTAAAGCGTTTCGGGACGAAACGAAACGATTACCTCTTTACCGGCAGATTTGCACTTGCTGCAAACTTTCACTTTCGACAACAGTTCCGGAGGCACGCCACTCGGTAACTGTAATTCCGGCCCGACCAACGTTAAACGAATCCTCTTCAAATTGGGCAGAAAGTGAAGAAACAACTTTTCCCACACCTCCAACTTCATACCCTCGAATTGAAATTCTGCACCGACCACGTGTATCGTCCAATCGCTTTTCCTCTGCCACTCAGGGCAACAAATTTCCATAGAATACAGGGCTGTCAGCGGAATCGTAGACACGTGAGACAAGACCGAGTACGTGTAACAATCCATTTCGCGATAATACGAGCAATCCCCGTAAATTCGGTACATCGTTTCGTCGAAATCGACCTCTCTCAATCCTGACATCTCTCCACGCACCTTTGGTATTTTCGGATTAACACAACCGTACCTACGCTGAAGCAGTAAAATTCTTTCCAACACTCGAAACTCGTCGCACCACTTCTCGTGTTCGTCCCTGTGTTCCTTGCAAAACCATTCCATTCCGCAGCGCGCGCAACAAATTAACTTTTCGCCGAACCGGCGACAAACACGACAAACCCTAGGATACAGTACAATCTCTTTCTCCCAAAGTTCCAACGGCCTCCTCATCTTCGACTCGAGAATCGCCAGAAGCTGCAATCGATAAACTCGGTACTGTTCCGCGTCCAGCTGTCCCACCAGCGCTCTCGATTTCTTTTTCTTGTCCCCGTCACCGTCACCGTCCGTAGAGAGCATAGAACAGAGCAACAAACGAATCTCCGTCAGAGGTTCGCACAACTCGCGATGCTTCGACCATCCCTGCGTTCGATGCGCCGTCGAGCAATAAGACACCATGCGGCAACGTTCGCAAAACAATTTACATCTCTTCAGGCAAATCGCGCAAAGACTCGACACGAATACGAATCGCGGTCTAACGTTTAACTCGATCCTCTCCTCTTCCTTCTCCTCCTCGCTGCTGCTCTCGTTCGACCACGATCCAGACTCGTCGTCCGGTGGTCGAACCAAAGGATACGTTAACCGGGAACGAACGCCGATCGATGTGTCTTTCTTCTCACCTCCCACCGCCGTACTTTCATCCGCTTCTTTTCTCCTACTCCCATTCCCGTCTCCTATGTCACGACGAGCGGTCGATCCGTCACATTTCTCCGTCCTTGCTCGCAAACCACTCCCTTTCCTACGACCCATATTTCCCGGTCACCCGTCCTCGCTCGCGTCCTCACCCTTTTCAAATTACAAATCGGTCAACCATCTCACACATTTTCCATTCGTTTACACGTACTCCCTCCCCGCCTCCATCGTGTTATCGACACGGCGTTTTTTACTTCGTTTGCAACCAACTCGCGACCACGTGATACGATCCAATGAAATTCTACATACAAATCAAACATAATTTGTACGTACTCGATTCTCAACTAGAAAATATGGTAAAACGAAACAGCTAAAGAGCTATGTATAGAGAGACAGAGAAGGAGGAAGAATACGTTGAAATTTTATACCACTAAGAAGGGAAACATACCTTCGAATATTACGCTGATTCTCGGGCACAAAAACTTTAATCCAATTTTATAAAACGATATTTATCGCAACAATCGATTGCATTACTCGATCCTCGTCGAAACAAACAGGGGCACATAGGCGCAATAAACACGATGCGCTGCGTCGATGCGTCGTCCGTCAAAGTCGCGCAATGCATGCGTATTGTCGAAAGAACAGAACTCGCTTACCGGGCACTATGCCCACTGCCCAGATAAAGGTATTTCGAGCACTATTCCTCGGATATGTGCCCTCTGTTCCCAGGTCAACTTGGATCTAAATCGATTGGACTCTCTTCGACGCTAGATCAGTTGGTTAAGTCGTTCGTTCCTCTGTCATTCCTCCTTTCAATTTCTTCCATCGCTATTACTAAAGTTATCTTTTGGCCTCTACTACTTGGCCTCGTTGCGCCAAACTTTTCCTATTATTCTTTCCTTCTACGTATTTTCGTAAAAACGCAACGCCCACTAAATCCTATACGATCATAGTATACATATGCACATACTTATAACTACGCATATTTACACGTGTATGCGTGTCATCATTCTTTTCGCATTTCTTGACAAGGGGGGAGGAGAAACGAGAAACGCTGTAACATAAATAATTTCGTTTCTTTTCTCTTTTCACCAACGAAACAAGTTCAAAGTAAAATCAACTGATCCTCACCGATGCTAATAAAATTAATCACTTTTCTCTTATACATACATATACTTTTATACATTCCTCTTATCTCTCAAATAATTGGCAAGATAAATCTTTTATTCTTCCACATTCCTATCACGATTACAATTTCTTCAAATACACCGAAATTCAAAATTCAAACATACCAACGTGCTTCGTTATTGTCTAGTATGCAGATACTACGCATATGTAGTGTAACAAATACATATGTATGTATATTATTTACATATATGTATGTATAATTTCTAACTTACCCTTGTCACCATTTAAAATACTTTTCTGTCGACTCGGAGCGCCCCCACGTGGTTGAACGACCAACTAATACGGAACCGTATCGCCATGTGTTCAAGGTAGATTGTGCAGTTTCGAGGTTATGTTGTCCACGTTGATACCACGTATGATTCTGACAATTTATTTATAAAAACCTAACTGACATCTGGAATAGTTTCGTCAATTGTTCCATTCAATTTCGTACGTAACATCAAAAACGTCGATCGTGAAAGAAATAATATTCTTCTCGCTTGATAAATACTACTGCGATATTACTAATACTAATACTAACCTGCGATATTCTTACTTCAATAACACCTTCTATATTTTAACCACCTTTATCTTCCCTCGTTCTTTATCGCCATTTCTTGCATTTTATTTCGTTTGATTCTCTTTCAAATCTATCATCCGACGAATTTATCAATTTCATTGCAATTCTCATTCGTACTACATATATTTACCGATTCAATACGTACGTTTATATTTCAACTTTCAAATCTTCAATTCTATAAACATTATAAAACGATCGATTACGAAACAGATAAAATAAAGCATTTCATTTCATCTCGAATGGATCATGCCCGAAAAATCAAAATTCATCGTTAAAAGATTGTCGATACACGTCCAATCTATCTGTCATTCCTGCGCGTCAAAGTATAGAGAAAAGACACTTCCAGAATGAAAGAAGCACGATGAATACTTTTTTTCAAACAGAATACACGCATTTTCGTATAAGATGCTGCTGCTGAATCTCTTTTAACAGTCTTTCTGTGCACCGAAAGATCGTTTATTCGAGGCGAGGGGCAAGCTGTAAGCTGTAATTGGAAAAGAGATGACCTGTTCGTTTCATCAGGCAACGTATACACCGAAAATCTAACTACACGCTGAAGAACAAGCTGATATGAACATGAAGATGAAGATGAAGAATGATTTAACGATAATATGGGAATGAGGCTGCATACGAATCGTTTATCGTCAAACGTACGACACAGAAAATCGGAGAATAAACTTCACGTGAATGAAATGGTGGGATTAGGCAGCGATGAATCGCTTCGTTCCAACATCTCTGATGTTAGTATGGAAATAGAAATGAAATCTGACGAAGAAACAGAGAGCGATGGAGAACACACGCGACGACTTATATCATCGTCGCCGATCGATCACCGCCATCTCGAATGTATTGCCGATAACACGAAAAAATCGGTTGCTCGAAACTCTCAATCGAAACAGCTCGAAGATGAGAATGTTTGGTTTATGTCTATACAAATGTTCGTGCCTTTTTTGTTAGCCGGTTTCGGCATGGTCGCTGCCAGTTTATTACTGGACATTGTACAGGTATGTACGTGTACCGAATTTTTTTGAAACCCGGTAGACACAGAACACGAAATACCGACGAAACGTTTAAACGCGTACCTTGGTTCATTTCCCTCTGTACGTAGCATTGGCCTGTATATCAAGAGGTATCTGAAGTGTATATATTGGTGCCAGCGTTGCTTGGCTTAAAAGGAAACTTGGAAATGACATTAGCCTCTAGATTTTCAACTCATGCCAATCTTGGACACATGGACACCAAAAAACAGCAATGGACTTTGATACTTGGAAATCTTGCGCTGATACAATGCCAAGCAACTGTAGTAGGCTTGTTAGCTTCCCTAGCTGCTGTTGTACTTGCTTGGATTCCTGAAGCACAATTCAATATTCACCATGCGCTTTTATTGTGCGCCAGTGCCTTAGTCACAGCGTCCATAGCAAGTTTTTTATTGAGCTTGCTAATGGTCGCAGTCGTATTATTATCCAAAGAGATAAACATCGATCCAGATAATATAGCCACACCAATTGCAGCTTCTCTCGGCGATTTAACCACATTGATGCTTCTTTCAGGCATAGCGTCTCTCCTCTATAGAGCAACAGGTAATTACGCGTATAACAGTCCTATTTAACTTTTCCTACATTTTCCAGATGGTATCCTACTAATCTCAGCTTTGCAATGCTATTTCAGAATACGCACCATGGATAGCTCCCATCTTGATAGCATTTCATATCGTCGTCACACCTCTTTGGGGTTACATCGCAGCCAGAAATCCATTTACCAAGGAAATATTGGACTATGGCTGGGCACCTGTGATATGCGCCATGTTAATTAGCAGGTATGTATTTCCATCACTTGAAAATCGCCGTAATAGACGCATATCCAATTTTATAGCGGCATCCGTAATTATCGTAAATAATACATCTTTCCACTGATTTCAGCGTCGGAGGTTTGATATTAGATTACACGATATCCAGTTACAAAGGTATAGCTGTATTTCAGCTGGTAATAAATGGCGTAGGCGGCAACTTGGCTGCTGTACAGGCTAGTAGAATATCAACATCTTTGCACAAAGATCGGCCATCTAGCATTCATCGTTTCAATCCATTCCACGTTTTCTGTGCGAAAGGTATGTTTCAGGTACTGGATACAAAACCAGAATCCAGCAGAGTTATCTTTCATAAAATATATAGATTATTCGAGTTGTAGGCGGACACGCAAGAACTGCTAGAGTTTTATTAACGATGGTGATTCCTGGTCATTTGATATTTAGCTATACCATCAGTTACCTCCAAGCTGGACATACTTCCTTCACGCCTATATTTCTTATCGTTTATTTGACCGCTGCTTTACTACAGGTAGTACCATACTCAACCACATTTCATCTTTCGATGCGCCTATCTTATAATTCACAGTAAAATCCGTTCAACGATTAAAACCAGTCCATCGTCGTCTAGGTTATTTTGTTATTATACATCACACAACTGATGGTCGTATGGATGTGGTCACGAGGAATAGACCCAGACAGTTCCGCCATACCATACTTAACGGCAGCAGGCGACTTAATAGGAACGGCATTATTAGGAATCGCGTTTCATATACTCTATGCCATCGGAGATGGAGATTCAGACGTCGGTGACTGATTCGTATATCTGATTCGGATTCCACGTGAAATGTTCAACGTGCGTGTAGAAACGAACCATAAGCATAACAATATGCTCACCGACGTTTTTTTCAGGATGGTTAATCAAGTTCGTTGAGTTTCCTTAACTCTCCACTATTATCATTTTCCTCTCTTCCTCTCTTTCTCGTTATCTCCTATCGTCAAATATTTTCTCAGTTCTTTCAAATAGAAAAACTTAAAACTCAAAAAGGACTATGTAACAATGGATTATTTCATTCATGTACATACTACAAATACACATTTAACATTCCTCTGCACGCAAACACATGCGTACACATGCGTACACATGTTACAAAGGTTCACCGTTCGATGCCGCGTTCCTTTCAATTGTAGCGGCAAAGAGTTTCAAATGAAGCGTTTCGGCATATCGTACTACTATTAATTAAACAAGCTCAAATATTTTTTTTACCGAAGAATGTATATTATTACACGAAATAAATTCGATTGAGAAATATTGTCGTATCTGTTATTATTGTCCAACATCAATTTCCAGGGTTTCACCTTCTATCCTAAGCGAATTGTCCATGGTAAAGAGGTAGAGCGATTTTGAAAAAGTAAAACGCATAAGATTTCGAGAGAAGAACTGACGAAGAATACGGTATCGTGCGTGCGTGCGTGCGTGCGTGCGTGCGTGCGTACGTGCACGCGCGAGCGCGTGGATTGATGCGGGGGAGGCAGCGGGGTAAAAGTAAAGTTCCATCGTAAGCATTGTACTTACGTATATATGCATGTAAGTACATACATACATAGGTCTAACGCTAAAGGGAGCAAAGAACGAAGCGAATACGAGAGCATAGGTGTAGGTCGCATCGCAACACACGGTTCCAGTTAAGCTCGATTTGGCTCCATCTGTTGTAGTAGTGTGTCTTTCTTTCGTACGGTATATCGTGTGTACAGTCGAGTTACGAGTAGGGCGTAAAAGTTCGTAAGCGAGGCAGGTCTCTGCGTGTGCGTTCAACGCCATACGCGTGGTGCGTGCATGTGCTATACGAACGTCGCTCAACAATTCGTACACGCTCAACGACGTATCTATATAGAAACGAAACGGCCAAGTTGCGGCGGTTGAGAGGCACACATCAGCCCCCGTCTCCGTCAATGAAATAGTTAGATCTGTCAGTGGCAACTATCGCCTCGCTCTCGGCGGAGCCTTTTAGATTTCATCTATCGCGCGTTTGCTTCACCGTGCCGTTTTCCAAAGCTATTCTTTCAGCCTCTGTAGATTGGTCTGGTAGCGCGGTGGCTTACCCAGTTCTCGATAAGAAAGGAAGAAAGTGAAGCTCCCGCGGATCCTGGTTCCGTCGTTACATCGATCGTAACAATACCGATACACAATTTTCGACAGTCCATTTTTACTTTGCCCGTTCCCGCATCGCGTTGCCCGCGTCCCAACGAACGAAAAGCCGATTCCCTCCCCCTGTTCGTACGTTGCGAATCGCGTGCGATCTTCACACTCCGTCCTCCTCTATTCGTCGTTGGAAGCTTCGTCATGCCGGTGCATATTTACCTTTAACAGTGAAATGAAAAAAAAGAAAATAACGATTAGACGGTGTGTGAACAGGCGCGATCGCAAAGTAGGAATCATTTTACCGGAACAATAATCAATTCGTTGTGGGCGCGCGCGCGCGCGCGCTAACAAGGGCGGGCGGCTTTCTGTTTCGTCAAATCTCTGCTTACCTTCGCTCTCCCTCGCGATAGAATCGCGCGTGTGCGTAAGTATAATTACGATACAATCTCTACAGCACCAGCCATCAGCTCCTCGTTTATCGCGAGATACGAGATACTATAGAGCAATATGTACAGTGATACGTGAATACATAGATAGTACGGGCAAGGGAACGAAAGAAACACTTGGCCTTGGGTGACAACGCGAAAGGGATGCTATTGAAAGCACGCTTCGCTAGTTACGGGAACCAAGTATCAAAACGTATGTTAAGTTATTGCTCCTCATGGTCGAACTTAAACACGTGGAGTAATTTATCAATTTGTGAATATGTTACGGAAGTGCTTCGTACTCGCGCGCCGCTAACGTTAAACGGCAATGTTTGCAAATGCCGATGCACGAATGTTGCAGGACACGTTTGATTTCTCATCTTTTCCTTCTTCCACCTTACTTTCTTTCCGATAACGAGCACGCGTATGTACTTCCGTTTGTCTAACTACCCTCCGATATCGCGACATTATCTCATCGATTCCGATCCTTCCGTTCGCACACACACACACGCGACATACATAATATTTCTTTCTACGAATCGCTACCATTCAACTTGAACGTTTATCCAAACATCCATACGTACAAATATTATAGATACGTATGTATACCTATTCAATGTCACGAGAGATCATTCGACGTGAGTTTTATTAGTTACGTATGTACTTACTTACATATGTAAGTAAGTAAGTATGTAAACTTTCGACGGGCTTAACGAGAAGCACGAATAATACTATAACGTATCACGATTACGATAATACGTGTAGTACATACCTTCTTTCCCCTCTCCGCCTCCTCGCCTTCTGCACGTGCCGTCAGATGTAATTGGATTTCTTAAAAATTTCCACGTTTCGTAAATATGCAACTTTCATATTTATACACTTTAAAAACTTTAGCGACGTTATCTATACCACGTGCATATATGTACGTCTCTGAGAGACCGATCGAGGAGATGTCAACACATCAGCTGTATCAAGATGAGGAGAATAGCTTGTTATCGCGTTGAAACGCTACCGACATTCACTAAGGTTTTCGGTGCTATCTTGTGGACAAACGTCTGAGAGAAAGAAAATTAAGTAAGGGTAGGTACATACACACATAGGTGAAAATTGCATGAATCGCATGTGAATAAATGAAAAGTTGCGCGTAGTAAGGTACGAGATATACATACGCTGTAGTTATGTATAACGCCGCGATGTTTCAGAGTTGAAGCTCAATGTCAAAAGTGAAGCACTCGATTCGTAGACGACTAGCCGCGAGAGGTCTTGCGTAATTCACCTTTTTAGGAAGTAGATACGAATGATAACGTATGTACGATAAAGATATACATACATACTTATTTACGTATGAACAACGTGAGAGTACGATTTCTAAACGAAACGAAGGAATAAAAATCGTACGTTTGTTCGATAAAGGAAAATTTAGCGATATATCGAACGAACGACCGATATTTCAGATTTCCTTATACGTACGTAATTGCGAGACTTTATCCAGGGAAATCGAAAGGATCGATATTTCGAATGAGTATCATTCGCTAACTATGTACATACATATACACACTCGCTCGTTCCTGTCGGTAACGGTCGTCGTAGTCGTAACAGGAAAATATGTACTTTTACACGTTTCGTTTAATTTAATAAAGAAGACATCGCGGCATCATTGCGGCATCGAAG